GGGGGGGGGGAAGTGAGGGAGAGGGGAGGTAGGGAAGCAGGGGGAGGAAGTTAGGAGCGGAAACGTCATGAATTAATCGAGTGACTGGCTGACTGACTGACTGACTGAGGGACGGACGGACGGACGGACAGACGGACTGACTGACTGACTGACTGTATACAACTGTATATACATACATGTAGTTTTTTATAAAATGAATGGATCAATCGATAAAGCAACCATCAATCAGTCAGTCAGTCAGTCAGTCAGTCACTAAATCAACCAATCAACCAACCAACCAATCAACCAATCAATGTATTGTCACTAAGAATTCCATTCAGTACTGATTACTAAGTTTTTCTTGTGATTCAGAAACAACAACGTCGCCACCGGTGATCACAGACAACGTTTTAAGCAATGTCACCCGTCCCCCCAACAAGAACTACGTTAGAACATTAGGAGTCAGTGCCTTGTCAGCGCCAAAAAAGACAATTTATATTGTGTTGTTCGTAGCTGCTGCCGTTGTGGTTGTACTGATTCTTGGAGCGGTCATGTTCTACTGCCGTCGCAAGCTACAGTTTTCGAAAGGAGCTGGATATGGCGTCGTTACCAGCGCTAAACCAAACGAGCCCGCAGTCCAATATAGGACGCATGCTCCATCGATAGGTTCCTCTTCTTCTTACGGATCCACGGTTCCTCTGTTACGTCAGCGGAGTCTGCGTTCTAGACTGGGTTCCAATCTTACGCAGGTGTCAGAAGTAGACATGCCATTGGACGAAAAATGGGAAATTGACAGAGAACACATTATTTTGTCAGGGCTTCTCGGAGAAGGTGCTTTTGGCAAGGTCATGAAGGCTGAAGCCATAGGATTACCTAACATGCCTAGTTACAGATTCGAAGTTGCAGTGAAAATGCTAAAAGGTAAGATTTGTTCATATTTTCATGTTTTGCCATCCCTGGTGAAGATTCCTCCAGATCCTGGCCTAATGAAGAAGGATATAACGAAGTTCCGCTTTACATACCGCTGAAAAAAGTAACAGTCTTAAGCGAAACATTTTATGGAAATCCCATTCCTTGTCCAAAGTAGTGAGCACACAAAGCGCGCAACAAACAAGTTTGTTTAATTCTTGTTTTGGCGAGTAAAAGGACGTAGTCAATTACAGACGTACGGGAATGGGTTTTCTGTCTGTCTAACTGTCTGACTGATCGACGGATTGTCAGAGATACAGACCGACTGACGGACAGACTGGATATTTTCATTATTTCGATGTACCACTTTAGTTTCGCTATTAACACTGTAAAAATGTTCTTGTGTCCCAATCAGAGAGGAAAATTGATATTTCACGTTGGAAACTTAAATGTTAATTCATGGATTTATTTCAGAGGACGCCACAGATCACGAACTTGCAGATCTTGTCTCAGAAATGGAAGTGATGAAAACTATTGGAAAACACAAGAACATTATCAATCTCATAGGAGCCTGCACGCAGGGAGGTTAGTTGATTTCTAAAAGCAAATTAAACCTGGTGGCAGTTTTTTCCCCCATCGAAGTGTACGTGTGGAAATATTTCCCCTAAAATTTGATATGGCAACTGAGAAAAAATAGAGCAATGAATTATTAAGTACATTCAGTCGCCCTGACAATTTGTCTTTCCCACTTTATCCCTCTTGCTTTTCCACTAATTGTTGTGCAAAGAGCTTCATCAGTTTATCTCCAATTTTTTTCTAGGGCCGCTGTTTGTTGTTGTCGAGTACGCGCCAAATGGTAACTTGAGGCAATTTTTGAAAGACAGAAGGCCGACTAGGGAATACACGACAACTCTTACTCTCAAGGATCTAGTATCTTTCGTCTATCAGGTTGCGAGAGGAATGGAGTACCTTTCTTCGAAGAAGGTACGTAAAACTGATGATAACATTTTTTTTTTGCGTGCAGAAAAGGTCGTAGACAGATTCGGCTAACGTGTTTAAAACCTTGTTGCCACCCATCATGGGATGCCGTTTTCTTTTGGGAGGTTACGGTTGTTCAGTTTGTACATACTCCCATGCGATCAGTTGCGAGTGGAAAATTGCACAATTGTAAACCTCCCAAATGAATCTTCACGTGATCTGAATTTGGTGGCAATGAGGATGTAAACAAGTTAGCCGGGTCCGTCTATTTGGCTACCAAAGAACACGAATTACACTATGTTGCATTTGTTTGTGTTTGGCGATGATATTCAAGATTTATTTTCTTTGAGTTACATTTACAGATTTACATTTTGATTTTTGTCGTAATTACTCAGTGCATTCATCGCGATCTTGCGGCCAGAAACATTTTGGTTGGAGATGATAATACCATGAAGATTGCAGACTTTGGTCTGGCACGGGACGTGCATCAAGTCGATTACTACAGGAAAACAACAGATGTAAGTAGCAAGGGATGTAGACCTTTAGACCCAGATCACACTTCGAACTTCACATGAGACGAATTAAATTGCAATTTGAGTCGATCCAAATAGGTAAAGCTCGACCGTTAGGTCCAACGTCGAACTTGATTCGAATTCAGATCGACCAACACGTTCTATCCGTCTTGGACGATCTAAATTCAGTCGGACGAACTCAGTTGAGTCAAACGTCGAACTTAATCATGAACTTAATTCGCTCAGCTTAGTTGGTCTCATGTGAAGTTCGACGTTTGACCTTCGCCTTAGTAAAACTAATTAGGAGCTTTGTGTGGATTCTAAGAGGGAGAATGAAATTGAAAAGGTGAATCATACAGTTACCTGTAGGACTAAGACTTGCAATTCTTTCTGATTCTTCGCAAAAGGCTAGTAATGACGTGTTTGCGTGCGCTTCTTGCCACGACTCAGTGGGGGGAGATGTTAATGGAGGCTTGAGTGTTTGGAGTAAGATTGGATGTCCCTCTTACGTGAAGTGTCCTCTTGGAGGACTTTAGATAATGTGTATGAAGGTGGCTGATTGCACGGTTCATTGTTCCCTTTCGAGAGTTGTCCCCATGCTAGAGACTATATCAAGAGATTCTGTAATCTCATGACCAGCACTCAATGCACCCTTTACATGTTGAGCAGCAGAGGCTCAACTGCAACAATTGATGTATGTCTTATTATCTCCTTATCAGGGTCGTCTTCCAGTGAAGTGGATGGCTCTTGAAGCTCTTTTTGATCGCGTCTACACAACTCAGAGTGATGTGTAAGTGAACTTGGAACCCTACTCAATACCAAAGCTGTAGTCCAACATTCTGTCATTCACATGCCTCACTAATAGCTATTCTTATTGATGCAATTAAAAATGTTTGATAAAGCATGTCTTTTTGTAAAATTTTCTCAAATTGTGCGCTGCGCCAAGACTCTACAATAAAGTTAAAAGAAGCTATTCTTAATCTAAATGTTGTTTCCATAGTTAATAATGCCTTTTTTGTATTCTTTTGTTCGTTTAGGTGGGCTTTTGGAATTCTTGTATGGGAAATAGTTACTTTCGGTAAGTTTAAGTCGATCTTTAATCTTTACTTCATATGATTGCCTCGAGCGAAAGCTAATCTGGTAATGATTCATAAGACTACAAAATGACTTGGGTACACGTTATAACATCCATTAACTACGAAGGAAAATAGACCTTTAACGGATGGGAATTGTCTTGATATTTCAACATATTCTCCCAACCAGTTCCACAAGATTTGTTCAGAGACTAGTTTTGAGAAATTGTCATTTCCCGTTGATTAATAGATTTGGTTTTGTGTCATTAGGTGGGTCACCCTATCCTGGCGTACCTTTGGAGAGCCTATTCGAACTTTTAAAATCTGGATTCAGAATGGAACAACCATTAAACTGTCCTGAAAATATGTAAGTAGTCATAAAGTTGTAACTGTGTGGTTTTTCATATATTTTATCTTTATGTTGGTCCAGTTACTGCGAAACGTCCAGACGCAAGTGTATTTACATCTTAGAGTCAGCAGACTATCAAACTTTCATAGAAGTGGATTGTCTCGTACAAACTTTAATTAGGACAAACTCAACTCGTGTAGAGTTTGTCCTAATTAAAATGGGAAATGTAATGTTTCCTTCGTTTCTCTTAGGTACGAAATTATGTTAAAATGCTGGCAAGATTCGCCGACACGGAGGCCAACGTTTGAAGAGCTAGTTCAGGAATTCGACGCCATGTTGGTGTCCCTGTCAGACAAGGTGAGGGTTAGATATTACTCCACATGATCCCTTTTCAAGTTCTTCCTACTACACTCTATTTCATTTATTTCTCTTACTGTTTCTTCTGGTTTTGCGTCAAAGTGTTTACCGTGCCTTCATTTTCAATAAATGAACAAAATTATTATTTTTTGTCTGCGTCGGCAGACAAGTGAAACATTCGCTATTTGTGACCTTGAAGCTGATTAAGGTACAGTGGAACCCCGCCTTACAGCCACCCCGTTAATACGACCACCTCGTTATTACAGCCAAAGCTCAGTAGGGCATTCTCTTATTTACAGAACCCCTTTAATACGCCCACCCCTTTAATACGGTTAGACTTTAGTGGCCCGTTAGTGACCGGATTAACGGGGTTCCACTAAAAATTAACCGCCCTAGCAAGTTTGACGGTGAAGCTGCCATTTCCAGCGGTAGCTCCCCATCGGATCAATGTAGGGGATTGCGAGTTGAGTGTTTGTTTGAGTGGAGTAGGGAGTTACACTTTTGTGCATCGACGTCATTCACATCACCCGCCTAGATGTATGTCCTAGAAAACGGTTAAGAGAAATTTGTTATAAAATTGTTTTAATAGAAAATTGCTATACGCGAAAGCAGCGCGAAATTACTGGAAGTAGCTGCGAGTTTTAATCAGTCGATTAGACAATCAATAAATCAGTCAATTGGATCGATCAATCAGTCAACGAAGAGAATTAATATTGCACTCACTTCCACGCTGTTCCAAGTGTTTCACGAGTGTTGCCTGGAGTTAAACCAGTATGTCTTACAAGACGATAATTGTGTATCTCTAAGATAGCGTGCGCGTATATGATCTGTAAAGACTGGTCGATGTAGGGAGGGACTACTGGGCGCGTACAGGAAGGCAAACGTGAAAAAAACAGATGGACAGACGGTAAAAGGCTAGGATTGTTTCTCTAACTCAATAAGAGTTGCGATTTATTTTACAGAAACTAACCCGATTTTGTTTAAATTATTTTCCAGGAATATCTTGATCTGGATGCATTGGAACCACAAACACCCACGTCTTCAGAACCGCCTTCAACGCCACGAAATTCATTAGGAACTGAACATGACACAGACAATGATGACAGAGATATTGACAATGTGTTCGTTGACAATACCAACGATATCTTGGAATCGCGTGAGAATGAACTTCCAGCTCGGACAAAAGAATCAGAGAACCTGGACACGACAATACCATTAACTCAAAATGGACATCATAAGGACACAACATGCGCGCTTCCTAAGTCGAGTTCTGACATGGAAGGCGATAAAAGACAAACGCGTGTCGTTACTTATCGTTCACCCATACACAGCGACGTGTGAACGCAAGTGGTCTGAAGTAATAGTGGAGTCACGCGAACCGGAGTCACGCGAATAATCATAGTCACGCGATCCTGATCTATGGTTCTCGCACAAGTATTTTGCGGGTTGTGCACAAATATGGAAACAAAGTATTCAAGGACTGTAACACGAAGACTATCCGAAAAGATCCTCTCAGTGATGTACTGTACAACAAGCCAGCATAGATATTGTTCGAAAATATACTGAAAATTAGTCAACTACGATAATAAACCGAGTTAAAACGAAAAACATTCTTCTAACTAACGCAGAAATGTTAATCAATTGCCCATTTCCGAGTCGCCTTAAGCCGCAGTATCAAAACGAGTCTACGTGCGAAACCATTCACATGAAAATGCGTTTGGCCTACAGCTTCATTTTCATGCAAATCAAACTAATTTTCAAATGAAAGGTTTTGCAAGAAGACTCGTTTTGAAATAGAGGCAAAAGGTAACTCAGAAATGGCGTATTTCTGCAGTGTTGGAAAAACATTATACCGAGTTACTTGAGAGATGGTTAAAGTGCTTTTAAAATGTGGAGTCTGCAAAAGGCGAAGGAAAAGCTGAAAAGAAGAAATAACTGATGCTTTTGTACAGAGGGCTGAAACATTAGTGTCTTTCTTCTACAAATAAGGAGAATAAGCACTGACAAATAGATCTATTATATCGAATATATTAAATAAATTTACTTTTATAGACAAGCATTTGTTTTTTTGGTACAGTAAACATGATTAAATGGCTGATGATTAGAGGTCGGGAAAGATAAAAATTCTTTTCGTGTTATACTGGAATTTTCACATGAATACATCAATCACAGCCAAAGAGAACAACAATGGAAAGAAAAGATTTCGCTTACTCCCACCACTCCCCTGTGTTCACACCTATTTCTTCACTCCATTTTACTACTACCGATTCCTCTCAATCAGCACACATTCTGTACCGATTTCAGAAAATTGAATAACCAGAAACCGTGAAATAAATGATGATTGTGCGGTTGTGCCACGAAATTTCCCGCAACGTTAGTGGACATATCTACTTTGTTATACCCAGAGAAAAATTTACATGTAGTTCAACGCACAGAGTTGCACCATATGTGCGTACCTTAATCTTATCAGCTTCAAGTCCATGTTTATTCTCACTGACAGCCAAACAGTTTTATTAATGTCAGATCGAAGAATTTGAGAAAAATGACCTGGCGGGCGAGAGCCTAGTTTGGGAAGAAAGGGTTCTTTGGAGTCAAGAAGGTTAAATAAAAAGGAAACAAGCCACAGGGTTACTTTCAGCCAATCCCCTTCCACCTGTCAGTTTGGCGCACGTGAGACGGGATCAGATCAGAATCACGTGACCACCAGTGACATGGGAAGCGAAAGCTCATGCACAATACCAAGTCTTTTCCCGTTTCTGACAATCACCAACCAAACATTTGATGGACAGGTCTACAGTGTTTCCGAGGGAGTCCTTCTAGTTGGAATTTGCTGTTTTTGAAGGGTCACCCTGAACTGATTGTTCACCGCTACTCTTACATACCTTCTCTTCATTCACTTTGCAAGAAGAGGTTTGTTTAGTGATAACTTCTATTTCGTATATGTTCATGTACACATACATCTGCATTGTTGTAACTGAATTTTAGACCGTTAGCTAGATCTATGTCCCTGTAGCGCTGGCGCTCAGGGGCGTAGAGAACTTTAGCACCCGCACTACTACTGTAGTGGAAACGTTGGTCATGAATCTCCCAATTTCCGTAGTACAAGCCTTGAATTTCAAATTGTTTTATTCACACTCTAAGTGAAGCTTGAGTGAGTTCTGGTGCGTATACAGCTGTTTCTAGAAAGCGTGCAACACAATGTCGAAAGGTATTATGGGTAATGGTGTTTCATTGTTGTTCGATCGATGCTCGTGGTGTTTTAGCGTCATTGAAGAAGACAACACAAACACGGGTATTCATGCCCTTTCCTTCGTTCTTACCGAAACACCATAAGCTTCAATCATGCAAGCCAAGATAAACTATCACTACTCATAATGCCTATCGGCATTGTTACGCATGGTTTTTACGCCTCTGTAGGACAACCTTTGCCGAAGCTGCAGTATTTCTTGCACTAAATCCGGAACAGACCAGCGCCCAAGACTTTTTGTCTCGTGTATCCCTCTTATCCAACGCTTTCACTTATTTGTAAGAACATTCCTTTCCACAATATTCCTTTTCACAAGATTTGAACTTTAGCATGAGTAGGAAACCACTCATGTAGTTCACGTTTCTAACGTCACAGTCGTCAAACAATGCCAGAGAGGGTTCCGGCATGTTAGAATCAATCAATCAATATATTTAACGTGGTCGGTANTAAAAAGCTAGTTTACAGGTACGCCACGAAAAAAATTAGCTAAATTGTTGTCGTGTTACGTTTTTGCCAATTTCAACAGCAGCAAAGGGAAAATTTAATTACTCTCTCAATTGTCAAATGACTTGAATACAATTTCAGTGCATTCTTTAAGATTTTGGCATGTCTCTGTCTCTTATAAGTCTCGTATAACAAGGTTGAACCGCCCTCCATCTCTCTGACACCTCCCAATTAATTAACAGGGGTTGAACGAAATATTCACCCTTGCCAGGTCCGGAGTTTTGATCAGAAAAAATGCTCATACTAATAATAACTGGCTCATCATAACTGGCTATAAAATTTTTTGCAATAATTCTTGGCTCTCAAAGAAGTGAGCAAGATTTCAACTACTGCAAATATTGATTTAATGTTGAAGCAATTGCTTGTTGGGCAATTTTCATGTATGGTCACGTGATTTTTAATTACGAATAAGGGAAACTTTTGATCAAATTAATGGACTTGGATGAGCGAATTTTGTTTCCCAACAGATAAAAAAAAAAACAAAGGGTTATTATTAACTCGCAGAAATTTTCAATCATGTTGAGGAACCGTTAAGTCAGTAATCTCTGTAGAGCGTAAAGTCTTGCCAGTAAGATAAACAGGAAACGGGACAAAGAAAGTAAGAAAAACAGGAAACTCGAGTTTGTTTTGTTCTCAAAACAATGGCAAATGCAAGTTAGCTAGTGAATATGTAGTGGGAGGTCTGGTTCATGGTTAAGGTATATACTTGGTTTTGTAAAGGATATGAACATGGACAACGAATGCACGTCACACTGGAACTTTGTTGAAGGCAAAATGATAGTGCTTCGCTTTTGACAAAACGCCAAAAGGTTTTCTGGTTCTATAATTACAAATATAATTTGCACTAATACTCGCCATCTAACAGGAAATGCCTTGAATTCATTTACTTGATAGTCTCGAAAAGACAATACCTGAGCCTTTTAATTGGAGTTATGGAAATGCATCCATAAAGATTTAACTACGATAAACCCTAAATTGGGCGCAAGACTACGAAGTCTGCTAAACATTAAACACGCATTTTCTAATGTCTCCCTTCTCCTTTAGAGTCGAGACGAGCTGCGTTTGCACCACACCTGATTACTTTCAAAACTCGTTCGGAAAGCTGAGTTGTTTACCCGTTTAAGATCTAATGATAGCTAATTTACTTTAAGCACACAGCACCTACAAGGTTAGTTTTTTAAGGCAATGTTTTTCGTCATCAGATACGCATGGAAAAACTTTGACTATATGGTATTTTTAGACACCGGTTAAGGTGCATCCTGGCTAAACTTCGTTCACAGATAATTTGCGTGATTAATGCGCGGGAAAAGTCCGCCTCTCAGTACACGGCTTGTCTTTGTTCACCGAACTTCCGGTCGAATAGGGCTCTTTGTGGCGAAGGTCCTAACTCGCTGAAACAAAAGTCTCCTAACTTTTTATGTCATAATTAGGCAACCAATGAATCGATCAAGTATTGTGCGAGTTGTCGTGGGTTAATCACTGCGAACGAACGGAAGACTGCACTAGTCCAAAAGCCTTCTGTAAAGTTTTCTAACTGCTTGCAGAAAGGAGCGTAGCCACTTTATATTACAGTACCCAGATAAACAACCAAGCAAGACTTACGCAAGGTAAGTTATCGAAGTCCTTATCTTTTTTTAACCGTGAAATTTATGCACTACTTTGACCAAAGCTGCAAAGAAAGCGCAACTGATCTTCGTAGACGCGAAAGAGCGGAAATCTGGTGTCGTTTGGTCGGTTTTGTGAGACCCAAAGTCCATAACCATGTAACAGATTTTGCTTATTGGGTGGCAGTAATGATGAAAACGTTAATCACAGATCACGCATGCAGGGCAGACGCACATTTTACCAACTTTGATGAAAGAATAGAGGTTGCATAAGATGCAGCCGGAAAAAGTTCAGAAGCAGCAGCTAAATTCGCGTCACTAAACTGAGCTATCCCCGGTGAAGCCGGAGAGCCAGGGAGTGTTGCTTCGTGAACGAAACAAAATGCGAGGCTTTAAAAGCGAATAAAAACACATAGGTGTCATCAGTCAGAAAAGAGATATTTTCATTCTTCGAAAACAAAGAAAGAATACTTGAGCTGTATAGCAGAAAGAAACCCTGTGTCGAATCAACTTTTGCCCTTGGGTCGACTTTCAACACAATCACTAGCGGGATTTACATGAATTTAATACCTTTGCTGATGATAGGACAGACTTTTTCGCCGGTGTCGACGTACAATGGACATACAGAGGAATGGATTACCTACTCAGAGTACCATGCATACAAGCATTGCCTTAATCCTTTGATTCTAAGAAGGCGAGCCATTGTAAAGATACAGTAGGCTTCCAGTAGCTAGTCCAACCGTTTTGAAACGTTTTCGGTCATTAATCGTGAAGAAGTTACATTGTACCATCAAAGAGTTAGAAGCTTGGCCACATGCATGCATGTATACTTAGGAAACTGCACCCGCTCAAGCCTGGAAAACGCCTAAACAGTTCGTAGACTCTTTCGTACTGTTTCAGGTTGGATCGATTAAGTTAGCATGCTAACCCTTCCGACTGAAATGTCTCAGAAATGTGAACTTCTTCCGTCCGACGGAAATATCTAGCAGAGTCGAAACAGTAACTAATTTTGTTACTGACCGATATTGAGACGTACTCTAGTGTCTCTACTCGACAGTTCTGTCTCCGTTGATTCCATCAATCATCATCAGTTTATGACTAATTGCTAAACTGTATTGGCAATTATAGTACTTTCGTTTTTGTAGCTGAACACGCTGGCTGATAAAGAAAAAAAGTCGACTGACAAAATTCGCTTTAGGTGTGAAAGGGAAGTTAATTATGGCAGTAGAGAAAGGAATTGCGGACGATATTTTAGTAGTTAAAGAAGTTATACCGCCTCATTTATTCAGTAAGTTTAGAAAATTGCTTGTCACTGTTTATACTGATTCAATTCTTTTGCCAGCTAAACATTACTCTAACTGATTATTTGATAAAACTATCTATCAGCGAGAGATAACAATTAATTTGAGTTGCCGACAAAACTAATAAGTAATGTGTGTTGCTTTGGAATGGCCCCTTTTCGTGGAAATGATTTGCTCAGCTATGCAGTAGAATGGAATGTCGCCGTGTCCATTGGCTACATCAAAATCATGAGTGAGTGCAGCATGGAAACCACAAATCTGTTTAGATCTCGAAAACCGTCCAAGCAGGATGAACCTTTTCAACAGACCCTCGCAATGTTTACGAAAGCAGAAGGAGTAGTTGAAACTCCATTCCAGTCAAGAGTCAAAGCGATACAATTCTTAGTACAGTCCTATAGATA